TTCCCTGGGGCACATTCCCTTACCGATAACTGACCCCGTTCCAGCACCTATTTTTCACTGGACGCTGTAAGGAATGTCTGCGAGCAACTGGGTCACGGCACAGCAGTCGTCCGTCCCTGCCCCCCCCCCCCCGGGTTCAGGGGGGTCAGGGGGCGTCTGTCCAGCGTCACCAATTAGGGGGGGGGGTGAGCAGTAGCCGGTATCGACCGGTGGGCGCCCGTAGGTACAGGGCCGGACATGGGTACCGGGGGTCCGGCGCTGTAACGGAACTTGCACGGCTGTGCAATTGCTGAACATGGGACACAGGTTATGTTCAGATACTGAAGTTGGTTTACTCTGAGTACAACGTGAGAGTGTATGTACAATATCCAGGGGATTTCACAATCATTTGTGTATTCCGAAGACTCCTTCTCCCTCTTCCTTTCCCTTTCTCTTTCTATCCTGTTGTTGTTTCTGTTTATCTTCGTGTTTTCCTTTCTCTATTTCTTTCGCCATATGTTTCCTTTCTCTGTTTCTTTCGCTATATGTTTCCTTTCTCTATCCCTTTCTTTCTCTCTTCCTCTCTTTCTTTCTTTCTTTCTTTCTTTCTTTCTGTCTTTCTTTCTTTCTTTCTTTCTTTCTTTCTTTCTTTCTTTCTTTCTTTCTTTCTTTCTTTCTTTCTCTCTCTCTCTCTCTCTCTCTCTCTCTCTCTCTCTCTCTCTCTCTCTCTCTCTCTCTCTCTCTCTCTCTCTCTCTCTCTCTCTCTCTCCTGTCAATCACCGGACAAGCATAAGTAATCAGCCTTAGTACTCTGTAAGAATTGCATTGCACTTCTAGAGCCTCTGTAACAAGTACTGTCGGAGCTACACTGCACGAGACTGTTCACCGGAACACCGCGATCTGCAGTTGGACAGGGGTCAATGATCGTTCAGAGTAGGAGATTTATTTCCCTTCACGCCACATTAGGCCTTTTCATTTCCCGTCCACAGCAGCCTGTGCTCTGTATATAGTGAACTGGTTATCACCGGACAAATCAGACACTTCTACGAACACACAGGGAAGAATGTCACGTCCCAATAGCTAGTTTTTAGATAATACTTAGGAATCGAACTGATTGGGCAACGGCACACGCGCCAGTCAGTGGTACTCGTATATTGAACTTTTTAACAATGGCGACGCTGTAGACTGACTTGACAGGCCTGTCAGGCATTTCCAATGCCTCTTTTCTATGAAGGTAGCAAGACATATCTGGCTTACTCCTGTTCATCCGCCAGGTCTCTCAATTGAAGAAAACAATACAAATCTTATTGTTTCCCTGGGAACTCGATACGACATGTCTGTGTCTCGTATTCCCGCCGCATTACACCCCGTCCCTTCCCTCTGTATGGCGGTGCCAGCCTTCCCCCTCCTGCCGGCTCGGGTAGCACCCACAATCCGTGTTTTACGCTCGGCTGAATGCCCGATCCATTTCCCGGCGTGGGAGGGATCAGTTGGCGAAAACATGCGCCGCGTTATTAATATTAGCCATCCGTGGGGTAGGTTTCCCACAAAAATATCGCTGGGTAAGTTTATACAATTGCACTGTCCTGGAAACACGTCGTTTCTATTTAAGTATACCGCGCTCTGAATCAATAAGAGATAAGTGCGTTAGTCAGATTTGATGTTTTTAAAACAAATAGACATCCTTCTTCAGTAATCATTTGCAGTTTCTTTACCAAGAATCATGTAAACTGTTGGCATTATTACGCATTCTGTTATTTACGCGTCTTTCCCCAGTGACCAACAGCAGCTGGAAGGCCAATTGGCGTATTTTTACCAGCAAGCTTTATGACAATCGATCCATCCGACCCACCGGTAGTTATATTTACTGCTGAACAAAAATGTCCCATGCGCTACGTGCGCGGGTGTACGGGGTTTTATGTACGTCGTTACATATGTACCGGCTTGGCTACGACCGAGCTGCAAAGTGCTATATGTCTGTTCACGTGCATGAGCGTGTGATTGCACCATGCGGAGGGGCTTAGAAAATCACAAAATTTCCGGAATACACATAGCTGGGACTTGAGTTCGTGAGAAATAGCGTTTAATTGCGCTTTAAATAATTATTAATCATTTTTTTTTTGTAGAGCGACTAGGGAAAATAAATCGTCGGGGTACATGCAAAAGTCATGCAATTCTGGCAGTTACTTTCAACAGTTCACGCAAGCCGCAAGGTGACATGAAGCACGACAACCTCGAAAAACTGATAACCACTAGCCAGTAACGGCGCAAAATAAACCAGTTCATAATAACGTTCTTAGATTGGCATGTAAGGCATACAACTTTCAAATGCCTATTTACCTGTTTATAGTAAAATAAGACAGTAGATCTACGCATAAGCGTGGCACAACACCGAAGCTCGCTAGTTTTGTTCTAAACATAGCTGCTTAAGCATCATCAGGCATAATCCACGCTCGCTCGCCTCTAATGCGCATCACGTGTCCGGCCTATCCACTGCACCGAATGCCATAAGCGTGTCCCTCCCCTCCCCCTCCCCGTCCCGGGGGAGCGAGCCGCATAAAGCGTCATTCAGTGCGCTCCGCACGCCATCCGTTGGACCGGCGCGGTGAGCGGCCGTGCGCCGCACTCCCGAGACTGGTGGTTCCTTTGAGCGGCCGGGTCATTGGATCGCTCCCGGGCGGGGGTGGGGAGGGGGCAGGTAGGTGGGGAGGGGGTAAGGAGAGGGCTCTGAAAGGCCCGATCCAGTGCGCCGGACGCCCGGATCGATGGCAGGTAGGCGGTGGAGCGGCCGGGCCGATATGCGCAGCAAGTCGCCGCTGCCGGCGATGCAGAGGCCAGGCGACGGACGGGGTAAAAGAGCGATCTCGGACGGAAACCAGAGGGGAAAACATTGAGACTGGACATTGAATAGACAGTGAGACTGAGAATGGACAATGAAGCCCAAAGGGCTAAATACAGCCGACGTTCTTGAGATGAGGTTGGACAATCGGCTCCGATTGTTTTAATTTCAAAACTATCCCAGCCTCTCAAAGCACAAATATCGAATGATTCTTTTATATGCGAAACTTCGAGAGAGACTGCCGCTCTTTACATTTCTGGCAACTCGTCGGCTATGCCACGTCGCCAAGTCGCCTAACCAGTTTGTGATTTAATATCGGAGGTTATTCAGCTTCCAGAGACATGCTCTTAGCGAAACGCATATCGGTCTGCCTTTGCGATCCCATTAAAAGGAACTTCAATCTAAAAACCTCTCCGGCTTCCGTTCAAGTCAATCGCGCTGAAAGCTTTCATAATTTGCACATTGCTGACTCCATTAACAGAGTTCACTTCTTGCTAGAGGAAGTCCCATAAGCTCTGGCCAAGTGGTGCTTTCGCCAGTTGGATTGACTGCGTAGAATAATGGTGCATTAGTTTGATGTATGAACATGCGTAGATAAGAAGTCTGCAATCTGCATGAGGTTAAGTTATGATTTATGGAACTTAAAGTCTATGAGCAAATGGACATTGATACGGGTCGGTTATATTACTTTCTCTGATATTGGTATGACATGCACATTAACCCGCGCCCCGTAGGGCTACCGGCGGACCCTACCACCCGTAGGGGGGGGGCCGTTTCGGCCCCCCTAAGATCTCAAAAATTTACCGGCCGATTTTCAAAATTCAAACGGCGTTCGATGGCCCCATCCGGGAACTACCTTGTGACCAAATTTCATTGACCTAGGTCAAACCGATGACGTCACAGGTCAGGTCAAAGGTCGGATTTTCACCGTTCACAGGCATTTCAAGAAATGTGTTGTGAAATCGAGTAAATTTGTACGTTATTGAAAACCATTGATGGTAAATTGTTCGTCAAACACATACTTCGCTATCTGAGGTCACTGATATCAGGTCAGGTCACAGAGGTCAGGTCACTGGGGGTCACAATATGGAAGTGTCATGTGATACATGTTTTATGGTCCATTTTACATGACAAATGCGATTATGTGGGTCAGGCAGCCTTTGGGGCCAGCTTAGGTCACGTTTTGGTGAAGGTCAGGTCAAGGTCAGGTCATATTAGGTCAAATTTCAAAGTTGATATTTTTGCATAAAATGGGTATCGATTCGATGCAGCTCGTCACGGGGAGTCCAATGGTGGTCTTTGTTTTGCCCTACGTGGTCTAGAATTGCCAAAAAATGAGTTTGAAAATTTGACGTCATCATTTTTGAACAGTTTTTTTTTCGCTATAACTTGGCCAAAAAACGAGATATCGATCTGAAATTTGGTATGTAGATAGAAGACAGTGGGTACTATCACATATATTCCGGTTTTTCGAAACTCAAAAAACTTTTTGGATTTTTTGGCTAATATATCCAAAAAATCGCATTTTTGACTTTTGGGGTCAAAACTCAAAAATTTAAAAAATCCGAGATAGTAGTTTTGTAGCCCTGTCAATTCTACACCTTGTATGCCTCGATCATTTTTCTGTATCTTCAAAGCTGTAGGCCTGACAGCTCTTCTCGCGAAGGTCTTTTTTCGGTCGAAAATGGCAGAACATGACGTCATTCTGACGTCATTTGTGGCCAACCTATTATAGCCTCTAAAATTTTTTTTTGTCACAATGTGTAAAATTGATGCCCGGAGGGGTCCTGAAAGTTTGGTGGCGATATCTTTAGCCGTTTAGGAGATATCGACGGAAAAGGACAGGGGGGGCCGTTTCGGCCCCCCCCCCTACGGGGCGCGGGTTAAGGGCAACTTTGCAACTTTCTCTGATATTGGTATGACATGCACATTAAGGGTCACGTAACTTGATTCAAATAGTAAGATGGATACTGTTTAAGATTGTCGCTTTAGCTACGGAATTCGTTGCATCAGAATCAATTCCATTCCAGAACAGCTCCCAAACATACAAGTTCCAGACTCTCCAGACACAGCCCACTCACGCCACTCACCCATGCACCTCACTCCCTCCAACTCATTCAACTCACAAGCACTAAGTCCATCTCACTCACTAACTCACATCTCACACACTCTCTGAACTCACCTGCCAACTGGGATCTGCCGACTTGTAGTAGACGAAATTCTCCTTAATCCACTTGTAGATACTTGCCAAAGTCATTTTATTCTTATTTTCCTCCATCGCCATAATGATAAGCGTAGCGTAGGAGTAAGGTGGCTTCACGCAACACTGTTTGTAGTTGATGTTGGGCAGCTCGACATCCGCCTTCTTCTTTTTCCGTTCCCTCGCCGAGTCTGCCGGCGGGGAGGCCGGAGGGGTGGGCGGGGTGGACAGGGGAGCCAGGTTCAGGTTCTGTAACCAGTTCAGACTGGTGAGATCCCCTCCGTCGTCATCAGTGGCTGCAGGGAGTGGAGAGAGCGGCGCCAGAGGAGGCAGCGCCATTGTAGAGGAGTTGGGAGCTCGGAGGACGGTTTGAGAGATGCTGGGAGGACTCTGTGAGGACTGGAGGCGCTCACATGGCGCGGAGGACGGCGCGGGTACCGCGAGAGGAGATGTAGCTCGTGAGTAGTCTTCCTCTTGGAGCGGAGCGGCGGCCGGGTACACAGCAGCGATGGCCCGCACTGGAGTCTCCTCCTGCGGTGAGGGGGAGCCGGGGTTAACCTCCAGCCATACCCTGTGCCTCATAGTGAGAGGAGGACCGAGCCCACCACTGACGTCACTCAGTCAATACAGGTGACGTCACGGATAGCGACGTCACAGCCCGACACAGCTGAAAGCCGCGTCGGCTTAGTCACAATCACTCCCGTCTTAGAGGCAGCCTGGGGATAACAAGCTCGTCAAAACTCGAGCAAGAAGCCGGATATCTCTCGAGGCTCAATAATTGCCACAACACTCGGATGCCACTCAGTCACAGTTAGAGGCCAGTGACACTCAGAGCCACAGTCCAGTGACAGTCCAGTCCAGTCCAGTGACACACACAGTCGCACTTGAAGCCACAGTCCACAGCCACAGTAAGCCTTAGTGGCACTCACAGTCCCACAGTCACAGTCTCACAGTCACAGCGGGTAGTTCCTGTGACACTGCTCGGCAGTCCCACTCACAGTCCACAGTCTCACAGTCGCAGCGGTCAGCCGCCAGTGACGCCGCTCGACCGACTGCCGGCCCTCTCCCGCTCTGTGACCGAGCAGCTGGTAGGGCGGCGGTCGACCGGTACACCGGCAGCACCCGTATCCGCTGAGCCAGTGCCGCGGGCAGTGAACCGTGGCCTCACCTGTCCCTCTGCTGCCGCTGCCGCCCCCGTCCCCGCCGCCGCGCCCGTCCCCGCCCCGGCTGTCCCTGCTCAGCCTACCCGGGTCCCGCCCGGGGTCCGCCCAGTCTGAGCCCCGCCCCGCCTCTTCCGCCCCACTTATCCTGTCAGTCCGACCATACTGTCCAGTGTCCATCCTGACAACTGACCGTCCTATCAGTTCCCAACGGAAAAGACATCTGTCCCGTCCTTACCGTCCTTTCCACCCGTCACTGTCTTTCTCTGTCTGTCAGTTTCTGCCCGTCGCTGCTCTTCGCTATTCATTCACTGTCCGTCAACTTCAGCTGTCCAGTTCGGCTATATGTAAGTAACTACTTTCTTTAAAAGTTGGCCAGTGTCCGTTCTCATTCGAGGCCGTCTCCCCCGTCTATAATTGCATGTTATGGTTGTTCGTTTCCCATCCGCTTCTGTCCCTTCCAGCGAAACCTTTACTGTCTCCATGCTGTCAATCCCTACGAACCCTCTAGGCCACTGTATCCCTGTCTCGAGTGTTCCTTCTCATCTATGTGACATCTCCACCGTCCATGCCTTTTCCTGTGGGACTGTACTTTTTTTTTGAAACTTGAATTTGTATACTAGATTTAAAAGTGGTCGTTTTTTCTGCCTTTCAAAGAAAGACATTCTAAACACCATTTAACTGAGATATATCTGTGCACTGTGAGATAAATAGGTCCAATCAGTGCGAAGCTCAACTATCATCAGTTCGTATGTTGGGCTTAATTACAATCGATTTGTGTGCCAGTCTGTTTAGATCTTTCCGCACCTCGCCCTTTCAGCGATTACTCACCGCCCCTCCCCAACGGCACGTGCCCTCCCTCCCCTCCCCTCCCCTCCCCCGAGCACGCGCCGAGCCCGGCACGCCGAGCGGTTGGCGGGAACTGAGCACCTGCCTCCGGCTCCCGCCAAAAATCCAGACACGATAATATACCGGATACACAAGGGCTCTATCTGTCTGGCGCTGTAGATTCAACCTTTGCCGTGGGAATCATAGTAAAAAATGAAAAAACCGAGGACCATATGCAATACATACAACACACTGAAACAGAGATAATAAAACAAACTCTGCCTTACCTGATAAATGAGCGAATGATTTATCAATTATAAGAACAAATCGAGATTTGGAGCAGATGACTAGAGGAATGAAAACATACAAGATTTAAAAAGAAAACATTCTCCATGAAGACAAACCTCTAGATTTCGGGTTATAAATGTTACGATCTTAACTTTATATATCAGTACTTATAAACACAGCATTTACAAGCGACCATAGCCACATCTCTAAAGTTGTTGCGTCTCCTCGCGAGCCTCGCTAACCCGCATAGTAGATGCCTGATGGTGAGATAAAAAAGCTGGAAAGAAGGATTTCCCAAAATGTCTTTGCCATAGAAGCGATTGTGCAACTAAAAGACCATCTATACCAAGGCCATCTATAGAAAGTACAGTCACTCCCCCGCCGACCAATCAAGATCCTCCTGAATGACGTCACCCCTGATGCTCGCAAAGGGTATAACTCCATTCCTTTACAACGTAAAAATGACTAATTTTATTTCAAGATTATTGATGGCATTCTACATATACCGCTCAACCATTGATGTCAATGGAAAGCTCAACTAATTTTCTAGCGACAAAAAAGAGCAGCAATATGCTAAGAAATGGCCGGTTTTGAAGATATAGACGATTTAAAAACCCTCTGCAGTAGCAGGAAAGCAACGTAAAAACGCATCGAGCTTATATTTTTACTATGAATAAATCATTTTCCAATAAGATTTTAGATAAGGTATCGATTTAATAAACAACTTTATTACAATATTTTTATTATTTGTAACTTTATTTCAAAATAATATTTTTCAAAAATGGCAGCTGTTGGCAAGTAGCTTGGAAGCGATTGTGGCGCACCGCGCCATTATTGTCCTGAGGCCCCCTTATGATGTCATCAAAAGTGGAGTGACATGGGCCTGATCTATACAGCTATGAGACAAAAGCTTTCGGACAGGAAGCAAAATAAACATTAATTATGTCAAAAATAGCTCATTACCTCAATACCATGCATACGCTCGTCGGCAAGTAATAGCGGATCTTTTTTACCAGAAAACAATTCATATGCCATTAGCTAATTGCCAATTGCCAATGCCATTCATCATGTGTACCAAAGTGGTGAGAGCATTTCGCTACGGTACCAAAATGTATTGTATGTGGCCCGTGGGTGCTGAATAAGTGATGATTTTGCCGGTAAAGATATATCTAGGCACGAAAAGACTACAGTAATGCATATAGGGGTTCTGGCCAGACTATTGCACGTTGACGAGCGACCTCATGCGGATTGAAGGCCCTCTGGAATCGGTTTGAAGACCTGCAACAGATCTCAGTGCAGTGTAAACTGTAGGCCCTCTGAAATGTAGTGTCCTTGTAAAATGAGACCCAAAAGCTTAAATAACGCTTCTCAGTCCTGAAACAAGCTAGCCGCACCAATCCCAGAAGCACCCAAGAAATGTAGCCGTGTTTGCATTCAATTGACTCTTCGTTTATCATTTAGGTAGGTGCGCCTGATTATTTGAAGCAAGCAGTATGGTACTTTTATCGGAAAAGGAATGTGAAAATGACGTAGCGGTGCATCACCTCATCCACCGACATGTCGGTTCGAACGTGTGAGAAGCGTTCCGGGAACGATTGAACCGCACGTCACAGCGACATTATTCAGACGGCGACTGTCCGCCTCTGACGTCACGCTGATGACGTCAGAGGGGGGCCGATGAGCCTCGTTGACGCGTTAAACTGCAGTTTGGTGTCGGGAATCTACCGAAGACCGTGAAATTATGGTGGATCAAGGTTAATTCTCAAATGTCATATTCGTGGAGAAAAGGGCGAGAGAGAGAGAGAGAGAGAGAGAGAGAGAGAGAGAGAGAGAGAGAGAGAGAGAGAGAGAGAGAGAGAGAGAGAGAGAGAGAGAGAGAGAGAGAGAGAGAGAGAGAGAGAGCGAGAGCGAGAGCGAGAGCGAGAGCGAGAGAGAGAGAGAGAGAGAGAGAGAGAGAGAGAGGGGGGGGAAGAGAAACCTACTAACTTGTGCAATTGTTGATTTAATTGAACTGCTTCGTTGGAAATGGTTTCGTTGAATCTATTTCCAGTTCCAGTTTAGTTAGTTCCTTTTAGAAAACGAGTTTGAACATCTATGATGATCCAGAACTTTTACCCGGCCAAAATTAGAGCTATTAGAGCTATTTACCCTCACCAAAATCTGCATTGACAGCTAACAAAAGTCAGTCTGTAAACTTGCACAAAGGCAGCTGTCTCAAATTTCTTTCCGCGCGTGCAAAAGGCTGAACAAATTACAGCGCCACACGCTGGTAATATTCAGCGTGTGCTGCTGCGAGGAAGTGAGCCTTTTGCAGGCAAATTACTCTGCCGACCTCCGCTCTGCCCGGCGTACTTGTGATCTGCAGATAGTTGCCGCAGCTGCCCCTCTCACTAATGACCCCCCCTCATCAGGCCCACCTGCCCCCCCCCCCCCCCCGCGCCGCCGGACGCAGCGGCGGCTGGTCTCGGACAATAGACTCGATGTAGCACCTGCCCGGCGCGCCTTCGGGTCTCTGCTGCTGCCCCGCTCTCTGCACCCGAGCGCGAGTGATCAGAGTGAATAAAAAAACACCGAACGTAATAATAGAGCTGCCCAGAGCTCACGTAATGACGGCAATGTTTGGTATTGTGCCGGTAGGTATTCTCCCGTGAGCAGCAGTAACTAGCTTCAGCCTTCAAAGTAATTTTTGAAAGCGTTTCATTGCCTTATTTTCTTCCTTATTTTCCCTTTTGCTTACCGTATTTCAATATTTTCCTTACTTTGTTTGCCAGTTCTGTAAGATTTTAGCACTTTACATATTCTTCCCTTCCCTTACTTCATTACTTATCCCTCTTTTATTTTACTCTCGCTTACTCGTCAGCTCCTTCCTCTCGGTCCTCTCGTATAAATTTCCACACGTTGGGACTTGTGAGCAATATCTGTGTTCAATAACTACACCCCACTCATGCTGTAACGTATTGTTAGCCGCAGCACCAATCTCTATCAACACCTGCCACACGTGCGGCGTGTTTTACTGCAGCGATCAGCAGTCGCCTACACCCTCCAAAAATACCCCGGCAGCTGCCGAGCGGTCAGTCCGTGTCCGCAGCGCGGTGACTGCCGGCGGAGAGAAATAATGAGATACCTAACGAGGTGAGATCCCGAGGCCAACCGAGCCGACCAGACTCCCCAGCTAGCTACAGAGAGAGAGGTACCCGAGGGAGAAATATGTTAACGGCGGCGTGAAGGCCGGTATTCTACTATCAGTTCAGGAAGTTGGGTGAAATTGGGGGTCTGATTTGGTTTGGAGATATTGGTTCTCGACTATCGGTGAAAATTGGATGTAATCATTCGGTGAAATTGGTTTTCGGTACGCTACTGGAACTTGGTCTGCATAGGTTGACAGGTAATAGTGACCAGATGACGACAGTCTGATAATTTTGCGACTGGTCTCGTCGCATCAATGCTATGGTGAATGGTGATATCTATCCGCTATCAATACGTTCTTTGTGCAGTTCGGATGCCAGTGAAGCAGCGATTTCACCTAGCAATCAACACAAATATCTAGGGACATTTTGGAGTATCGTCTTTACGATCCCATGAGAATGGTAGCACAGCTGCCATTTACGAAGCCTGAAATACACCATGGCTCTCGACCGTCAAATAGTTACCAAGTATTAGCATACACCGCTACCCCATTCCCATTCGTCTTAGTCAGTCTCGTTAACCACCCAACCCATCTTCAGTCGTTCTCTATCTTTTGTCCTTCAGTCTCCATTACCTAAATCGAGATTCCCTGATTTCTGGAGATGAATTAGCTCCCCTGAGCAATCAAGCCCAGGTGGTGAGTGCTCAGGTGGAGCCCAGGCGGGGCCCCGCTGAAGCCCCAAAGCAAACCAACCTCATTCAACAGCCCGCCTCCAGCCCCAATGTCGTACACCTGACTTACTCATTCCATTTCCAGACCCATCCGGATTCTTGGGTTCAATACAAGAAACTAACTAGATCCAACCTACCTGACTATCTGTATCCAAACTTACTATCAAGATCCAACACACCTGACACCACATCTCCAACCCCTAATCCAACCCACCTGACTCCTAAGATTCATCCCAGATCTACACACCTGACTTACCGCATCCAGCCGAGATCCTACCTGCCTGACTACCCAGATCCACCCCCCCCCCCAGATCCAGCTCACTCGGCTCCCTGATCCAGCCACCTGACTCTAGAGACTCAACACACCTGGCTGAAGATCCAGTCCAAGATTCAACACACTTGACTCCCAATGGATCCAGCAAAACTGGCTCTCTGGGTCCAGCACACCTGACTGTAGATCCAGCTCCCCAGATCCAGCTCCCCAGATCCAGTCCCAGATCCAGTCTCAGATCCAGTCCCAGATCCAGTCTCAGATCCAGTCCCAGATCCAGTCTCAGATCCAGTCCCAGATCCAGTCCCAGATCCAGCCTCAGATCCTACTCACCTGTCGTCGCCGGCGCCGGCCCTCGCGCGGAGCCTCGTCGAACCGCCGCGTCGGCAGCACTGACCACCTCCGTCGGTGGCGTCGGTAGCGTCGACGTCGACAATCAATACCTGTCGGGTCGGAACGCACGCGCCCGCCGCCGCCGACGACGGGGCTACCACCGCCGCCGCCGCCGCCGCCGCCACCACCGCCAACGATGACGATGACGATGACGATGATGACGATGAAGATGACGATCAGCTATGAACTTCCCGCGCTGAGTGCGATTTCAATGCTGCTGGTAACGATAAGAGTTAGACAGACCTAGTAGCGGCACGTGCGATAGAGATTTTTTTTTGTTCGTGGTAGAGGCGATAAAAAACTGCGAAATTGAGGTGGACATTTGAAGAGAATGACTTATGGTTGGATGACTTCCAATCCATAAGGGCTTATAACGGGAATCGACGCGAGCTCGTTAGCTTTCACCGGTCTCATGAAGGTTAATTTCGATTTGATTTGGACCATCTCCTGGTCCTGACGCCGGGCCTGTGAATCAGATCATTCATCTTGTCTGACTGGCCTATACAGGGCTCACTATTGCCCCCACTCGTTTTTCGAGCAAGTGTTCCACTGGGAAAGCATTGCCTTTAATTTTGGCGGTGCTTTAGCCTTCTGCCTGCATCTGTCCCATGTCCGATAAGAAATGATCGAAGAAAACGTTCATCACTTAAAAACATTATTCTAGTCACATTTAACTCAACAATTACCACACGTAAAATTAATGACCTATAGCATAGTCATACCCCGCGCCCCGTAGGGGGGGGGGGGCCGAAACGCCCCCCTGTCCTTTTCGGTCGATATCTCCTAAACGGCTGGAGATATCGCCACCAAACTTTCAGGACCCCTCCGGGCATCAATTTTACACATTGTGACCAAAAATTTCTCCAGAGGCTATGATAGGTTGGCCACAAATGACGTCAGAGTGACGTCATGTTCTGTCATTTTCGACCGAAAAAAGACCTTCGCGAGAAGACCTGTCAGGACTACAGCTTTGAAGATACAGAAAAATGATCAAGACATAAAAGGTGTAGAATTGACAGGGCTGCAAAACTGCTATCTCGAATTTTTGAAATTTTTGACCCAAAAATCAAAAAAGCATTTTTTTGGATATATTGCCAAAAAATCCAAAAAGTTTTTTGAGTTTCGAAAAAAACCGGAATATATGTGATAGTGCATACCGTCTTCTATCTACATACCAAATTTCAGATCGATACCTCGTTTTTTGGCCAAGTTATAGCGAAAAAACTGTTCAAAAATGATGACGTCAAATTTTTAAACTCAATTATTGGCAATTCTAGAACTCGTAGAGCAAAACGAAGACCACCATTAGACTCCCCGTGACGAGCTGCATCGAATCGATACCCATTTTATGCAAAAATATCAACTTTGAAATTTGACCTAATTTGACCTGACCTTGACCTGACCTTCACAAAAACGTGACCTAGGCTGGCCCCAAAGGCTGCCTAACCCACATAATCGCATTTGTCATGTAAAATGGACCATAAAACATGTATCACACGACACATTCATATTGTGACCCCCGGTGACCTGACCTCGCTGTGACCTGACCTGGTATCAGTGACCTCAGATAGCAAAGTATGTGTTTGCCGAACAATGTACCATCGATGGTTTTCAATAAATTACCAATTTACTCGCTTTCACAGCACATTTCTTGAATTGCCTGTGAACGGTGAAAATCTGACCTTTGACCTGACCTGTGACGTCATCGGTTTGACCTAGGTCAATGAAATTTGGTCACAAGGTAGTTCCCGGGTGGGGCTATCGAACGCCGTTTGAATTTTGAAAATCGGCCGGTAACTTTTCGAGATCTTAGGGGGGGGGCCGATACGGCCCCCCCCCTACGGGTGGTAGGGTCCGCCGGTAGCCCTACGGGGCGCGGGATACCCTTCACCAGCAACACATCAGCAACTGCAATCGACCCAGTCACCATTCACAAAATGCACCATGATCTGATCAGTGACATGCCATATGAAACTGAACCTTTCCATACAGGCCAGCGGCCCTTCTGATGGCCCTTTGACAGACATGACAGCAGTCCGGCCACGCCATGACGTCACAAAGGGCCAAAACGTGTCGCGCGCACGACCACTTGATGGCAGGGGTGATACTGACCGGTGACACGGCGCGGGGGACCTGGGGCTGACAGCGGCAGGACTCTGTGGTCTGTCTCTGACGGCCATTAGCAGCTGCACCAGGCAGTTGGCTGGACTTTCCTCTGAGAGCAGTTACACACGGCTGCTCAACGATCTGTTCTGCACAGGAGCTGTATGGGTAGGTACCGGAGAGTTCGACATGTAAATAAAAATGTTTCGAATATGTTTTTAGGACAGCCGTCAAGTGATTGCAACAGTTCGAGGTAGCCGCAGGCTGTTTGAAATGAAATAGACAAACACTATTCATTAGAAATGTGTTTTTCTATTGATAGTTGACTCCCTGGAACCCCATTTTAATGGCGCTCGTAACGAAAAAATCACTGAATGTAACGAGGATATGGAGCACCGAAAGCTAATGAGCCTGTTCCACGTCTAGAATGTAGCGACGGTGTACGAGTATTTCATGCCAATGCTCATCTATTCGCTTATTCCTATACAATCATCTAGGGACAAATCGTCCACACATTGATAAGGTTTCCAAATACCCTGGCTTACCTAAGCCTAAAACAAGGTCACAGAATATCAACTTGGCCAGCTCGTGAGTAATCACAAGTCTCGTGAGGCGTGACCATCGCTAACCGCCCCTCCCATCCTATACGTGCCGGCGCGGGCGGCGGTCAGTCGGTAACACCTCCCTTCCAGTCTCGGGTCCAGCACCTGTTTTTCCATCGTCCACGACCCTCAATTTTATCGATTGCGACGGCCCCAAGTGCTGGCAAATCGTCGACCAATCGCCGCACGGCTCTCTGAGCGTCCGCCAATCAGAAGGCGCGACGCAGTTGGTCGGCATCGACCGCCGACGTGCACAGGTAATAGTCGTCCGACGCCGCTCCTCGACCGACGACGACGACGTGCAGGAGCTTGTGGAAGGCTGTCGAGCTCGTCAGGCCCACAAATCGGCCGGATTGCTCGGCAAATGACGGGCTTGTCCGATTGAGCCGGGCTTGTCCGACTGAGCCGGCTCAGAAGCGGCCTACCTGGAAAGGCCGATCGGACGTGCGCACTGGAAGCGGCGGCGGGGAGGGGGGGGGGGGGAGGGGGATGGGAGAGGAGAGGGAGCCAAGGAGCATACGAGGAGATGGGGTGACTGCGGCAATGTGACGCATCAGGTCCCTTATGACCTTGCAGGGTTATCTGAGGATTCTGGGGTCTTTGCCTGTGGCCAGCCTGTAAAAACGAAAAGCGTGGACCGAGGATCGGTTCGAAAAAAAAACTAGGAACCAAAACAAATGGAGCAGTTCTCGAAATTCAAGGAGTTTCCGAGCAATATTTTTTCTGCGTTGGTTATATAAAGACAGGAGAATATCGCCTCATAAAACCAATGAAACCACCTCGAGAAAAGCCACCTCAAGTCACAAACATAGTTTAGGCCCTTCAGCATGGCCATCATTGCCCTAGGGCCATTGTGCAGATGAGCGCTCGTTTGTAATTTTACTTCACTTGCGAGAACTTCTGAGTGGCAGACGCCGACCTCTCCTCGATGATGAGTCTCCTTTTTACATCATTGGGTGATTGGCCGTTTACTGCGAATGAGTCTTTATGGATAACGACCCCGGTCCCCGGGACAATGGTGGTAATCGATCCTCTGAGCGGCCAATCTCAGCACAAGCGGCTGATAACCATAACGGACAATGATGACGCATGGCATTGTGTCCACCGAGTGTCCGCTCTTCGGCGAATCGGTTTGGTTTAGATTTAACCCGCGCCCTGGTGGGGGGGGGGGCTATTTTTTGCCCCCCCTCCAGACTTTTTGATATATCTCCAGAACCGCTGCGCCGATCGTCACCAAACTTTCAGTACCCTCCCGGACATCAATTTTACACATTGTGACCAAAAATTTTTCCAAAGGCTATGATAGGTTGGCCGGAAATGACGTCAGAGTGACGTCATGTTCTGCCGTTTTCGACCTAAAAAAGGGTTTCGCGGGAAGAGCTGTCAGGCCTATAGCTTTGCAAATACAGAAAAATGATAAAAACATAAAAGCTGTAGAATCAACAGGGCTACAAAACTGCTATCTCGGATTTTTGAAAATTTTGGATTTTGACCCCCAAAAATCAAAAAATAAATTTTTTGCATATAATAATCGGAAAATCCAAAAAGTTTTTTGAATTTCGCAAAAACCGGAATATATGTGATAGTCCTTACCGCCTTCCATCCACATACCAAATTTGAGATCGATACCTCTTTTTTTGGCGAAGTTATAGCGAAAAAACTGTTCAAAATTGATGACGTCAAATTTTCAAACTCAATTTTTAGCAATTCTAGACCCCGTAGCGCAAAACAAAGACCACCATTAGACTCCCCGTGACGAGCTGCATCGAATCAATACCCATTTTATGCAAAACTATCAACTTTAAAATTTGACCTTTTTTGGCCTGACCTTGACCTGACCTTGACCTGAACTTCACCAGAAAGTGACCTAAGCCGTACCTGATAGTCTTATAACCAATACCATTGAGTTGGAAATGAAAAATTGGCCATAAAACATGCATCACACAACCTTAGTAAAGTTGGGCTCATGTGACCTGACCTGTGACCCTTGGTGACCTGACCTGTGACCTGACCTGGTATTGTCAGTGACCTCTAATAGTAATATATCTACTAGGCAACTGACGCCCTATCGCTGATTCTCGACAAAATGCGTTTTCCTCGGTGTTATAGCGCATTCCCTAGAAGACCCGTGAACGGTGAAACATTTCATCTTTGACCTGACCTGTGACGTCATCAGTGACCCCGAGGTCAATGAAATTTGGTTTTCCTCGACAAATTTGACAGGCCTTTCGAACGCCGTTTGAATTTTGCGGATCCGTCCAGTAGTTTCGGAGATACGAGGGGGGGCAAA